CCAGGCTGCAGCGCTCGCGCCTTCTCGGTTGACACGCCTGCCGGCGCTCACATCGTGCGTCAAGCTGCTCGTCTGCTTGCTCTAAACGTCATCCCCGACACTCGCCTTGACTCCGAGGGGCTACATCGAGGCGTCTAGCCACCCTGTGTGGACTAGATGGTGTGCCAGTCTCACTGATGATCAAAAGCTTCTCCTCAACATGTTCCGTTCCGGCGCCATCTGGACTCCCACTCGCAGGCATGCCTTTCGTAACTCCTTGTTCACGGCCTGCCCGCATTGCACTGAGACCCGGTGCTCTGCGCGCCACTTGTTCGCCGATTGCGTTTTCTTTTCCGATCTGCGCATGTCGCCGCAACGGAAATGGGGTGTTTCCCAAAACTTCTGGCGCGATCAGCCTCGTGTCACTGCAAAAAGTGGGTGGGTAACACTCGATGCCTCTCCTGACCCTGCACAGCGCGCAACGATGCAAGTCGCTGCCTGCGCCTTGGGGCTGCACATGACGGCCCTTTTTGGTGAAGGCGTTTCGCCTGCGTAGGCTCCGTTGCAGGTGCAGGTCCGTGGCCTGCCTCGGCTGCCTCTCCTCCCTTAAGCCCGTTGGGTTTAGGCTCGCCTCCTCCCTTGGCCCTTTTGGGTTTAGTCCCCCCCGCTTCCTTGATGACTTGATGTCTTCTTTACCCATGACCTCAAGTGGCTTCAAACCACTGAACCGATAGCCCCGGCTTGCAGTTCTTCTTTTCACCCTACCCCGTGGCCCTAAACCCGTTGTTAGGTTGGGTCACCTCCATAATAATAATAATAATATTTCGTTCATGAACTGAAAGCAGTCACGTACCAAGTCAGTGAATGCAATCTTTACACCACACATGCAGGTCGCATTTAATTGCATGCTCATACAGGCTCATCAAGTTTTCGGCAAGGGGCGCAAGTGACATTGCAAGTCTTACGCCAACGAAGACACTTGCAACGATCCGTGCAACAATTCCTGTACCGGCAGTGGTCCAATGTATTTACCCAGTGATACTGAACGTAACAAGCAACTAGCAACTAGCATCATCGCTGTGTATGGTGTTCCTCGCTGTTTGGTTCCCGATAAAAGTACAGTTCGCGCCAGACAAGACGCCCGTGAAGGTCTGCAACGATTGACATGTACGGCTGCTGCAATCTGAGCCGTTTACACACACACACACATGCGCATCTGTCTGGCTGTTTGGTTGCCTATGTGTGTGTGTGTGTGTGTCTGCGTGTGCAACACAACGGTGTTTGTTGAGTTGGGTTGGGAAAGTCCATGTTAAAACTCACCGGTTGGGTTGTGCAGAGTTCAAGAGTGTTACATAGTACATCAGCATATTCGTATAAGATTCGGCCATACTGCGTGGCTTCTGGGTGGCTACAGCTTTTTGCAAATGCTTTACCTTACGGAAATTGAACTGCACACACGTTGGATGATCTTGGGTGATTAATGGTGATCCCCCTTTGTCATCAACCTTGACTCAACGGCATGGCAAACAACACAACAAGTCAAAGTGTCAGGCACTTCGCCGGAACTTCGCGGAGCTATAGGCCTTCCTGGATTGGATAGTCGGCATGCTCGCATGAATTCCAAAAGTTTGGGACCAATTGCGCCTGCTTGCCAGTGCTTCGAGGATGCCGCAGCGACAAAAGCCTAGAGGATTAGCGAGAAGATGGTGGACGGTGCGAAGTGACTTGCTCGGAATTCCGAAAGGCTCCGTGTTCATCGATGTTTTCCAGCAAGAACAGCGCCCACTGCGAAGAGCTGAGGGGGTGCGAAACTAGCAGTTGCTTTTCTTCAAACATACCAGTCACTCGAGAATCATGTGATGTGGCCATGCAGAAGAGAAAGGGCCACGTGTTGTTTCAACGAGCTACAGGCGGGCAGTCGCGCATGTGGGTTCGAGTCGCAGGTAGTTTTGAAGACCGGACTCCTAGGCACCCGAAAAATGTGGCGATGCTGTATGTGGTCGGACCCAAGGGCGAGGCAGGGTAGCGAGTATGCGTCTCGAATTATTTTATTTGAGAGTCCTCCTTAGCAGACCCTGGATACAGACAAGCAGCGAAAAGCCTGATTGTGGACACATGTTGATGTGACCGCGTGCCGTGTCAGGGAGGCATATCAGACTAGTTTCCTCGGGTAGAAATACTGAACCCATTAGGACCGACGAGCTTCTGTGGTTCTTTATCTGGTCCAGCACCCTTCATACCACGTAGAAGCTGTACGGCAATTTAGTGTTCCATTGGGAGGTCAACGAGGTAGGGAGCGGTGCATTGAGACCTGAGAGTGACGAGGGTGCCACGGGCCCGCTTGGCCCGGGCACTGGTCCGCTTTACGACGAGGACCACTTCCTGGGGCGCTTGGCCCAGCCAGGGAAGGCCGATTTCTCCAACCCTGCTTGGGATTGTCCCCAACCACGGAGTGACGGATCGGTAGGGCGCAAGACTGTGAACGTGCCTCATGAGCTCAGCGTCGGGCCCTGTGTCACAATGAGGTCACTGGAGGTATTGGCCACGAAATCGGCCCGGTGCCCGGAGGTTGCAAGATTCCCTCGTTCTGCAAAGGTTCGTTCCCCCCAAATCACTTCAACCACCGCTCTGACTTACTTCAGAGCTCTTTCATGTGCTGTGGGATGGTTAGGTGCGCAGGGGCGTCGGTGCTGTGTTTTCTCAGCAGTTTCTTCAGGAAAAAGCAGCTGTTGCCTGAAAATACACACCTTGGGACCCCCAACTATCGAGCCCTTCGCTTGCAAAGTCCTCCCTGGACGGCTGCATTTGCTGATGGTCCCAGCCCATGTTCAAACGCGGCAACATAGGTTTTGCTTTTAGCCATGTCTGCGAGGCTAGAAAGCTTGCATGTTGAAGGGCAACTGGGATGCTTGGGACACCGCGCATGCAAGAGCTCCCGTCGCGAGATCGAAGCGGTGGCCGAGTACAACGATATCCGCGAGACCTCATGTGGCCCGGTGCCGGGGCCACCCATTGAGGAGGCAGTTGAGCTGGACATTAGCGGACCTCATATCATCCCGTGCGTGCGACTGCCTGGGGAGTCATCCAGAGCATAGCCTGATTGTCATTTAGGGTGCTTTGTGGCATTTGTTTTTCAGCCGTTGCGTCACTCAGCTAGATGCCGCAGGTGCGATGGTGCCAGTGCCCCAGTTGCTTGCATTAGGAAGCCACAGCTTACCTGCGGCGTGGTCCCTGTAGTCTGGCCCTGACATGGACACAGGCTTGGTCAGTGGCGGTGTGTATCGGCATGAAAGCTGGAGCCTCATCCAGCCCGAGTTATCATTCCAAAGGACAAGGGTGCGTAGTTGAGGACAGCTCAGAAATGTTTGCTGCACATTTGGCTTCGACTGGCAGCTGCATCAGTACTTTCTGGTGGTTGCGTCCTGCATGGTGAAGGCGCCGAGAAAAGGTCGACAGTGGAAATTTCTCATGTCAGGCATACAGATTCACATTGCAAGTATTGGAAACTCATGCGTACCACCATGTCCCACCGAGGTGTTAGCAAAGTGGACGTTGCTAGAATCACGATCCAGGGCATGAGGGCTGCGAGAGGCCGGGCAGCAGATTATCCAGAGCGCAGCTTCGGAGCTGTCGTTCTAGGCATCGCCATGTTTGAGTTACTCATGTGATCTATAGCACATGTCATGCAGCCAGTGCTCGACCGAGCCCAACAGCTTAAGACAGCAATTCCTTCGTGATAGAACGCCAGGAGCTGACGGTCTTGCCTGGTCCTCGGATGGCTGAACTATTCAGGGCACTTGCAGTCATTGCTGACGGCGAAATGCTTGGGAGAGAAAGTCAGGGCATGTTTCTAGTTAATTGCTGATCTTGTGAGTTGACCGCTTCCTGAGATGACACTACGACGTTTTCCATGCATGCTTCTCTGGTTCTTCAATCTGAAATCTGCTGGAAGCTATACTGATGTACAAGCTCATGTGCGGGGGCATCAGGCTAAGGTTACGCGAGTCGGAAAACTGAAACTGCTAGTATCGTCCAATCCGGACCGTTGCAAATGCTCGAAAAGTTTTACATGAACTCCCCAAAACATGCAACCACAGGTGTGGAAGCAGCATCCCGCAGCCCGCGCCACTTGAACTGTGCGCCTTTTCGCCAGGAGCGTGGAGAAAGCCCGAAGAGCCCAAGTTCTTTCAAACCTGAGGAATGTTTTTAGCACCTGTGTTCGCCTTCGCAACCTGTGGCAAAGACCCATCGAGTTGTCAGGACCATAGGGCGGCTCTTTAGTCGGGGCTTTCCGGAAATGGGCTCTGGAACGACGACGGGAAAACACGCGTGTTGTGGACGGCCTGACCCGCTGCTCCCCATCATGACAGAGTCCTCTTCGGTCGCCAGAAGTCTCTCAGGTCGTCACGTTTGCCTACGACGAGGACGTATTTAAGAAGGCCGACAGCACAGTACAAAGCGCAGGGTTCTCGCAGTTTGGATGAAGGGTTGGTTGTATCGGCTGCTAGTGCTGCTAGGGGCCACGGGGTCGTGCATGCCGAGACTGCGCCCCTCGACAGGCATGGCAAATAGAGAACAAGAACCTGAAGAGTCAGGCTGGGCTGCTCCACAAGACACCTGCTGCCTTCGAGATTTTCCCAGCATGTTGATAAGCATTCACTGCGACAGTTTCTGCTGACAAGGATTTCTAGTCTAGCTGTGCGGGGGCGACTACATGGCAAGTTATTGCCAGCAGATTGCCCGAATGTGGCAGACCGTCCTAGTTTACGCTCTTCGCCAGCAAGATGATACATCGGCATGCGCTTACCTGACCACGCTGGTAGTCCTGCATGTACACGTCCATGTACCAGACCAGCAACAGAACACGATAGCTCTCTGGCCCCCGCAGGATCTCGAGAGTCACCTTTCTCGACGGCGATACATGTAAAGCCCATAGAGCCCATGTTTACACAGCGTCAGTGCTCGTCGCCACCGGAGAAAACCTGACCCTGCCAGACGCAGACCATACCAGAGATTAGAGCACGTCCGTAGGCCTAGCCTCGCGAGAATACATGCTACAACCATACGTTAAGTCTCAGATAACCCTCAGCGTCTGGCCGGATAGCCCGAAGTGCATGCGCCGAAAAACCCAGCACTTCACATCAACACAGTCTCACACCACCAACAGTCGCACCCATCGGCCCCGCTCTCATGCAGACAGCCAGGCCTGAGCCGACCTCTGAGTTCCTGTTGCCACAGGGCGAGGGTCTGCTCGAGGGTCTGCTCCGCACAGCCTGGTATGCTGAAAGCAAAATGTGGAATTTGGGTTGAGGTGGCACGGTCTTTGTTCAAGCTTGCGCCAGAAGAGAGTAATGCATGAGGCCGTCGCAGTTCGACGTCTCGTTGCGCCAGGGTACGAAGACTTGCGGTTGATTTCCCTCGAGGTTGCGATTGTCATGCGACCTTTTGCACTCACTGCAGTCAAGTCAAAACCGCTTGAACTTGAGCGTTGACAAGTCGAGTGCATGCAAAGGTTGAGCAGCGCAGGTTGAGTTCACTGGGCAGGGACTCGGTCGCGAGTTTCGTTTGGATTTCGTGACAGCACGAGTGCAGATTCATGCACCTCATTGATAACTAGCTGCTACCCGGCCCGAATCGATCTTGGCCTAATCCGTGTTCTTGGTTAGTACAGTAAGGGGGGCACCGCCGGAGCCATGGCTTGCTCGGTCGCTTGCGCCGCTGCCATGGCTAACTAAAGTGCTTGCTAACGTGAGTAAGTTGACACAGCCCAAGCGTGAAGTCAAAACTGCCTAGAATGAGTGGCCAAAGGAAAAAAATGATGCCATGATGGCTTGAAGAAAGTGTGCCACTATGGCATGAAGCTGTGTAACGCCTAGGGCTGTAAAGAAGTATGTGACGCATGTCTTGCTGTGCGCAGAGCGCGGTTGGCTCGCTAAGCCCGATTCGGGCTTGGGCTTCCCCGGGCTGGGGGCTGCTCGAGCCCAATAAAATCTAGTATTTTATTGAATTTGAAGGAATATATATTTCGATAAGATTTTTATTTTTTCACTGTTTTTAAGAAATATCGATTAGAATATGAACTTATATTTTTTCAATTTCGCACGAAATTTAGTAGGTTACAGAGTTTTTAAAATTGTATCGTTATATTTTAGTATATCGTCTAGATAAAATATATAAAAATATATTTATGAATATTTTTGAAGAAATAACTTGTTTAGGCGTGTTGAGTGATTTTCAATAAAGTATATCTCGATAAATTTTATATATTCTAATTTTCTTTTGGATTTATAAATGGAAAGCTGTCGTAGAAAGGGCGAGTGCCTATTAATTATATATTTCTTTATATCGCACTAGAAAAGATGATTTTTTTTATTTTTAGCATAATTGGAATGATCGAAGATTATATATTCATTCATTTATTTATAAAGATTTTCTGAATCTAGAAAAGAATCTTAAACTTATGGGAGCTTTTTCGATTAAGAAGAATGGAATGGAGAAAATATTATTGAATTCAGATATTTTGGATTTCAGAATAAGGTTGGGATTCGGATGTGAGTATCGTTAGGAAATGGTGAAGATGGATCAATCGAAGTGAAAGGCTAGGATTATAGAAATATGTATGGTGGCAGAAAATCAAAAAAATTTATAATGATTTTCAGAAAAATTTTCTATATTTGTGATATCGGTGGTAAAATAGGGGAATGAATATAATAATAATAAATAATTTCTTTATTATAAAGAATGGTTTTAATTGGAAAATTAATACGATTTAAGAATGATATTAATTGAAAATTTTATATATTTGAAAAAAATAATTCAAAAATTAATCTCGAAAATTTTGAAGATAATCGATAAATTTATTTCGATATAAATGAATAAAAATCCAAAAATTTAAAATTATTGGATCGATTTCGAATAATAAGTTCAAGAAATAAAAATTGAGATTATTATAATTAAATATAAAAATTTAAATTTGATATATGATATATTAATTAGATTATTAAGAATCGAATTTATTCAAGAATTCTAAATATTATACAAAAGGATTTGAATTTAATATATATATATATATCATTTTAAATATATTATTATTAATATTTTTTCCTAATCTAAATTATGATTATTATCATATATATTTATGAATTTTCATATTATTCGAGCAAATTTAAAATATTTGCTATTATTAGAATTAAATTTTTGAGTATGCATAATTTTTTTATATTATTTAGAAGGGTTGAGCGTATTCTAGTTTCTCTAGAATCGTGATTTTGTCTTAGATATAATTATAAAAATTATTCG